TCCTCCTGTGGCTGGAGTGAGGGAGTCCAGGAAAAGCCACTTCTCCCCTTCCTTCCCCTTCCCTTCCTTCCCCTTCCCTTCCTTCCCCTTCCCTTCCTTCCCCTTCCCTTCCTTCTGCAAACGCCTGTCCCTAGTTACACAGTGAGGGTGAAGACTGCACCTTGTCTCCCTGCCCAAGGTGCCACACGTTGCCCATAGCACGTGCTATGTTGGGAAGACCGCCTTTCGCCCAGTGCTGAGCTCACCCGCTCCTGCCTTGCCCTTCCCCGGGCGGGGAGGATGCCGTGGCGGGGAGGATGGATGCCGCGGTGGCTCTCCGGCTCGTCTCCGCTCCATCAGGCTGATGCGCTGCGACAGTTCTGCTGAATCGCTGGCCCGAGGGGCTGCGTGGGGCTATTTATGGAGAGACAAAGCCGGGGGACACCGGGCGGGAGGCCAGCCTGAGATGTCCGCAGCTGAGAGCGGGTCATTTTGGCCTGGATGAAAACGTGCCGTTTGGTGAAGGTCACGGGGAATAACCCCACGGGGATTCTGGTTTATATGAGAGCAGCTCCTCGGCCCCAGCGTTTCGGTCCTGTTTGCAGGAGCAGGCTGGGTGTGGTGGCAGGCATCTCCATGGAGGACAGTGGGCCATCCTCTGATTTTAACTTGTGTTTCCTCTGGCCCCGGAGCTTAGGAGCAGCCCAGGTGCTGATAGCAAAGTCTATTTTTAGGCAGCGGCTGTGATCAAGTTTTCCTTTTGCAGGGAAATATCGAACCATTAAACCAGACCTCTGAGCCCCCTTTAGCTGCTCTTTTATCATCCGGGTTTATTTTTATCTTGCACCTCCCGCACAGCGGTCTGGCAGCTAGCAGAGGAGGGCTTTAATAATTAAGGTCTTTTAATAATAAAGGTCTTTAATAAGACCTTTAATAATTCATAGCTCCTACGTTTTGCTCCCAGGGATCAGAAGAGCGAGTGGCTGGAAGGGGGCTGCCCGACCCCCCCCGCCCCTGCGGGGGAGCGGCGCCCGCCGTGCCTGCTCTGCCCGATGGCCTGCGCCTGCCCGGGGCTGTGCGCAGCTTGTCGGGCTCCCACCCAGGCAGGGGACCCCGGACGGTCCCCGGGCAGTGACATTCGGGGTGGAGGAGCACTTGGGACATGGCAGCGTGTGCGTGTCCGCCCCAGCACGCTCAGAACCGACCCACTGTTGGACAAACACGTGCCATAAACTTAATCCCCGGTTGTTGGCCCCTTGGTGTTCAAATCGGCTCCTGAAATCCTCTGGGCAGGCTGAGCCCAAGGGGAATTTCACAGACCTCCCTGAAGCGGGGGTTTTGCTGCCGTATCCGTTTTAATTCTTTTGATTAAAAGTAGTATTACAACCAGGACATGCTTTGCGTTTGGTTGTGGAGCAGAGTTGATCTTTGGGATGGTCTTGGATCTGGTGGAAGTGTATTTTGTCCCCAAAGCCTTGTGTTCATTGAGTTGCTGGAGCGTGTCCAGAGAAGGGCAGCAAAGCTGGTGAGGCGTCTGGAGAACAAGTCTGATGAGAAGTGGTTGAGGGAACTGGGGTTGTTCAGTCTGGAGAAGGGGAGGCTGAGGGGAGACCTCATCGCTCTTTACAACTACCTGAAAGGGGGTTGTGGCGAGGTGGGTGTTGGTCTCTTCTCCCAAGTAACCAGCAATAGAATGAGAGGAAATGGCCTCAAGTTGCGGTAGGGGAGGTTTAGACTGGGTATTAGGAGAAATTTCTTTACCGAGAAGAGTGGTCAAGCATTGGCACAGGCTGCCCAGGGAGGTGGTGGAGTGACCATCAGTGGAGTTGTTCAACAAACATGTGGATGTGGCACTTTGGAACGTGGTTTAGTGGGCATGGTGGTGTTGGGTTGATGGTTGGACTTGATGATCTTAAAGGTCTTTTCCAACCTTAGTGATTCGGTGATTCTGTGCGTACCAGTCAGGCCCTGCAGACCACAGCATCCTTCCTTGCTCCCACCTATCTGCGAGCCAGCGCCCAGCAAACGCCCATGGAGGCTGCGGGTGACTTTGAGCTGGAAAGGGAACCCTGGCAGTGGAAGAGAGCAGGTCTGAAGGGGACGGCATACCTTTGCTATGTGCTTGCCTATCCCAGTAGAGAGATGCTGACAGATGTGGGGAGACTCCACTTTGGAGACCGAACCAGCCCCTCAGCTCGTGGCTGCCCTGTGAACACGAGCACTGCTGGGTTTAGCTCTGGTCATGGAAGGCTCAGAGATGCATCTGGAGCATCCATCTTTCGCAGCGGCTGGGAAGCTGCTCACCCATGAGCTTCTGCACGCAGGTGCTGGGGTCCTTCAAGATCTGCTCCAGGCAGATGGAGGAGCTGAGTTTCAGCAGCTGCTTTGGCAAAGCACAAGGCAAGCCGAGCGCTGCAGAGCCTGGTTTCATTTATGCACTGGTGGCTGGTGCCTTCTGACTTAATGCTCTGTGTTGGCTCGTGGCTTTGCTCCTGCTGACAGCTTTATGGGGCGTTAAATTACTTCCAGGGTCCACTTGATTCTCCTGTCGCGTCCGAGCATGGCAGCTCCTTGGCACGCGCGGCACAGGAGCTGGGAAAGGCAAATTCAGAAGAGCTTTTGCTCTCTCCGAGCAGGAGCAAGGGCAGGCTGCAGTGGTCACTGCTGCTGGTGCCTCACACCCTTCTTCCCAAGTACCAGCGGGAGCAGCTGGTTTTTCGGTGGCCAGATGCCTTCTTCTGTCCTCGCCGTGCGTGCAGGAAGCTTCCCGGCTTTGCTGCATTCTCTGCGTCTCCTGGACAGGCCTGCCGTGCACCGGCTGGTTGTCAGCTTGCTCTTTAAATACTATCCACCCTAAAATATCCCCGGGATTTGTTCTCTTGAGGAGCACGGTACAAAACTCACAGGCCTATCTTTTAGTTAAGCTGAGTGGCGGATTTCCTCACCCGTACTTATTGTGCATCGATCGCTACCAGGTTGCCTGCGATCTCGGGTGTCTGTCTTTGCCTCCATGTGTGCGTTTTTCCCTGTTGTTTTTCTCCCACTGTGAGCTGTGGCTTGCCTTAATTTGATTGACTAAACCCGTTACGTTGCTGAACTGTAACGAGATATCATTGACTGGGCTGCCTGTAGCCTTCAAAATGGCACGGTCCTGATCCTGGAAGAGAGGGGATTGCCGCGACGCCTTTCGCGTAGGGCCGGCTGCTGCTGCTGTAGGTCGGCTGTCCTCTGCGGCGTCGGGGCAGGCACGAGCCGACCCCTTCTCGTTCAGCATTGCAAAGAAACGCGGGGTGCAGCGACTCCCCCAGCGAGGGCAGAGCTGCTGCCGCAGGCCGAGAGGCAGCGGGGTGCTTGCGAGGGATGGTGCAAGGCATTGGCTCCGGGTCGGGACTGGGGACCCCCGTGGTTGCTGTTGCTAAATGATAAGAGAGATTTCCAGCCGGTGAGCTCTCGTGCCCTTTTGTGCTCCTGGTTGCAGGTAACTGCTGGTCGACGCAGGACCGTGGGTATTCTGCCGACGCCTGACTGCTTTAATGGTCCCTGGCCTTAACTGCTCTTCACTTGTAGGTTATTAAAGGTCTGGTGGGGGGGAAGTGTCCTGTCAAAATCAGCTCCTGTGGGGGGCGAAGCAAAGGGCTGACTACATCGCAGCTTCCCCTGGCACAGCGCTGTCCCGCTGTGCAGCCAGCTCCACGTTTCGGATGTTCGCGGTGGTGGCTTGCGTGCGTTACGCGGCGCTGAAGTCCCTTCCCTTTGCTTCGTGCAGCCGCTCTAAAGAACCGCGGTGCCAAAGAAGCGGAGGGGGATGGAGACCGCGGCAACGGACCAGCTCCAGGCTCGGCAGCCGGACCGGAGGGGG